TCCCTCCCTCCCTCCCTCCCTCCCTCCCTCCTTTCCTTCCTTCCTTCCTTCCTTCCTTCCTTCCTTCCTTCCTTCCTTCCTTCCTTCCTTCCTTCCTTCCTTCCTTCCTTCCTGGCCTATCTCTATCTTCCTCTCTCGCAGACAAGCCCTTACTGTATAGCCCTGGCTGGCCTGTGCTACTTGCTGTGTATACCAGGCTGGCCTTACCTTGAGGGGAGCTGCCTCCTCTGCCTCTGTAGTGTTGTGATTAAAGGCATGTGCCACCATATTTAATAATTTTTTTAGTCCTTTAAATTGTGGTAAAATAGATATAATATTGAACCTTTGAACTATTTTTAATGTAAATTTTTCTACTTTTTTGTGATTTTACGTAGGAGCACTATGCTTACATCATTTCCACCTCTCTCTCTCTCTCTCTCTCTCTCTCTCTCTCGCTTGCTATAATTCCTCTCATCCCCCTGCAGCTCCTGTCATGTCCCAACTCCATCTCAATATCATGACCTCTTATTTAAGTATTGTTTTGTGTATGTATGTGTTCTGGGTCTATATTTAGAAACGCTATATGGTTTCATAGAGTGAACCCAAAATCTGTACCTTTCTTTACCATACACACATATATGTGTGTGTATAATTACACACACTAAATGTGTAATTACACACACATATAACATGCTGAGCCCATCTAGTGTCGCTTCTACGTGCATGTTTGTAGGAATGACTCCTTAGCATCGGATAACCTCTCTTGGGGCTGTCCCTGGAAAAGACTGGTTGTCCCTTTCTCTGCAGCCACTGATTGCCTGTAGCTCTTCATCTAAGGGTGGGGCCTTGTAGATTCCCCCATCCACATTGGCATGACAACTGGTATCACTGTGGAGGTCTCGTTTAGGTGAACATTTATTTGCACTTTCATGGGTACAGCTTCCTGTCATATATAGAAGATGGTATTTATCCTGGCCCTCTGGCTCAAAGAATCTCCCCCCCCCCCCTTCCATGATGTTCCCTGAGCCTAAGGGGTAGGAGCTGAGTTGTAGATGTATCAGTTGGGGCAGGGACCGCACAGGCAGCTCTCCCATTTTGATCCTTTGTGGATTTCTGTGCTGGTCTTCAACAAAGAGAAGCTGCTTTGATGAGGGATGAGAGCTACACTTAACTGTGAATATAAGGCTAAGGATTTAGAATGAAGTTAGAGATTATAATGGTTTAGGAAAGCGGCAGTAGTCAGTTCCGTGATCTCAGCAGCCATAGGTGGTTGGTTAGGTTTTTCACGGCAGACATGAATTCTCCTATTGAGCTGGAATTAGCTCCAGTTAGACAGCTGCTGATTACTCACCAGATATAAGTGCTACCACTCCCCCCTTGGAGATCTTTACCATGGTGGTTGTTTATTTGTTTGCTTGTTTGTATTTCTCCGTGTACCCTTGGCTGTCCTCGACTAGATTTGTAGACTAGGCTGTCCTTGAACTCATAGATATCCACCTGGTTCTGCCTCCCTGAGTGCTGGGATTACAGGTGTGTGGCTCCACACCAGTTCTTGATGGTTAATTTTTAACTGTATAAGTTAGTACCATTCATTGTCTTCACCATGTTCTGCAAACCATTTACTGTTATTCATTCCCAGAATTTTTTCATCCTTCCAAATAGAAACTCTGTACTAACTAAACAGTATAGCTCCCATATCCTCTTTGCCCCTGCCCCTAATAACTACTATCCTGCTGTCTGCCTCTACGGATTTGCTTACTCTAGATTCTGAACATTAGAATTACCACTGTCCTTTATGACTTACTTGCCTTTGTGTATGTGTAGAAGTGGGAAAAGTGAGCTTTGCTTAGCACAACATTTCAAGATTCATTCCCTTTTATTGCTAAAGACAATCTCATTCATATATATGCCTCATTTTGTTTATCCACTTACCTACTGATAGACATTTAGGTTTTCCGTACTTGGGCCATTGTGGAAAATGCTACAGTATACATCTTTTGTTGTTTGGGCGCATGCTGTCATTCCTTGGGGAATATGACTTACAGATTGAGGGGCTGATGGTCCATTTCCAAAGCAACTGCAGCAGTGGACATTTCTCCATCATGGCGTCTGTCTGAGCGCTCTGCTTTATAACCTTCATCCCAACTAGCATTTGTCATCCTCCTCTTCTCTTCTCAGTTCTAGTCATCCTACAGGGTAGAGTTTCATGTGGTTCGACTTCCCCGTGCTGGAAAAAAGAGACTGGACCTGGGGAGAGACCATCTGATGACTCCGCAGTCTCCTGATTCTGTAGCCCTCTTTAAGGCCTAGCTTTTTCAAACTTCACTTTTTTTTTCCTGCAACCAAAGGAATCCCAACTAACTGTATTAACTCTGTTTTGTTGATAAGAAAGCCAGTCTTATGTTTTGTACACAGCTACTCTAATCTGTTGAACTAACTAATCAGAAATGACCTTTTATGTTATTCCCTCCTTTCTTTTTTTTTTTTTAATTCAACATGCCATCCTGCCAGACTTTATAAGGAGAATTCTAGCTTTCATTGTGGGTATATTTTTATAGTTCTTGCCTGCAAAATACTTTTATTTTTGTTAAGTGGATTTTTTTCTTACAATATCAGTTTAAATTCAGTTCTAAAGAGTGTAGATAGCACATCTCTAGAATAATTTCTCAGTGTTTGTCAGGTTCATGTTTCTCTCCCTCTCGCGTCAGTGTCCGCGCAGGTGAGCACTGGCTGAGACTGGCCCCATCCGCCAGACGCCACCTGCAGTGCAGTGTGGCTGTGCTGTCGTCTTGGTAGTAGTCAGGCGGTCAGATCCCAAGAGGACCCCGTTAGCTGCCACTTGACCGCCCAGTGCCACTGTGCTTGCACTCTCTGTCTTACAGGGTTGGTTTATGTGTTCGCCTTTGTGCAGGGGGCACGCGTGCATGCCACTGTGTCCTTGCGGTGGCCACAGGGCAGTCTGTGGACGTCAGTTCTTCCTTCTTTTTTCTGAGGAGGTCGCTTGTTGCTCCTGTTGGCTGAGTGCTCCAGACTAGCTGGCCTGGCACTCGTAGGAATGAAGAGCCTCTTTGGCTTTTCTCCATATTGTTAAACTGTTTAAATCCCCCCCAAAAATTGGTAGCTCAGTGGCTAAATGCTTGCCCAGCATATGGGGGCATTTAGTTTGATTCCTAGCATGACAGTAATTGAAGTAAAATCGCACAAGGGTAGTGGCTTACATGCCCACATGCATGCAGGTGTAACACAGACACAGGCACAATGCACACATGCACACTAAACAAACATTTTAAAATGAAGTCACTAGATTCCATAGATTTCAGATCAATGTACATGAAGCATGCTGTATCATTTCATGCTGTTTACTCTCATTTTATGTTGCCCTTCTTATTTCTAATATTATTGCCTTTTTCTTGTCCTCTCAGAACTCACAGGACTATGTCAACTTGACAGGTCTTCTTAAAGGCTCATTCTTCCCCTTCCTTCATTAATTTAGATTTTTGTTTTTATTGGCTTATTTTACTACTTATGAATTTGATTTATTTTTCTAGCTTTTGGGGTATATAATCAGTTTGCTTACTGAGAATAAAGTTTTGTAACAAATCATTCTAGTTGATATTATTGGAGTATATTTAACTAGATACAGTATTATATTTAATTATATTTTAGTCATTTTTTGTTTTCAAATCAAATTCTTCATGGATGTCATTTTTAAGACTTACTTTGGTGGGCAGCAGTGGAACACCCCTTTAATCCCAGAACTAGGAAGGCAGAGACAGGCAGATCTCTGAGTTTGAGGCCAGCCTGGTCTACAGAGAGAGTTCCAGGACAGCCCAAGCTATACAGAGAAACCCTGCCTTGATAAAACACACACACACACACACACACACACACACACACACACGATTTTCATTTGTGTGTGTGTGTGTGTGTGCACATGTGCACACACAAATGTGAGTGCGTCCAGAGGCCAGAGGAGGGCCTCTAATACCTGGAGCTGGGGTTACAAGTATGAGTCCCTGGCTGATACCTGTGCTGGGAACTGAACTCAGTTTCCTTGCAAGAGCAGCAAAGACTTGTAACCCTACTGACACTATCTCTCCAGCCCCTAATTTGGCTAATTTTTAATATATAACTCTTTTATTTTCTTTTTGACTCTTGTGCTATTAGCAAAATGAGTGCTAACTGTATAGCTTCTATTCAAACATTTTTATCAGAATTTCTGTTTTTCCCAAAGAATGTATAATGTAGCTTGACCTGATAGAGCAAGACTACTTGCCCTTACATTTCCATCTTGAATACAAAGATTTATGATGAGCCAGACTCATAAGAGTGATATTGAAACCCTATTGATTGTTAAGCTAGAGGTGTGTTGGGACCTATTCAGACAAATCCAAGTGAAAGATCACAGAGCATGAAGCTTCTCTTCCTCTGAAGCCCATGCTTAGTAGTGGCTACCAAACAGTGAGGACAGACATGGAGGATATTAATGCTGGGGTGACTGAGGTGTCAAGTTACAGAATCCTTTAGAGAGGATGACTGAAGTTATAAAGGAGGAGCAAGCAAATGGTTTTCAAGCAAAAGGAAGAAAGGACCTTCCAGAGAGGAGTGGTCAGTGTTCAGAAAGCCAGTCACTCTAGTCCATACATACCTGTATGCATGTATGTGCTTGCAGACACACGTTTGTAAAGAGGTATGGATTCAGTGCTGCTTACAAACCTTGGAAAGTCATGGTCCCTGTCACAGTAGTGTCCCTCGTGTGCTTTGAGAGGTGGCTACCCACATGCTCCACTTGCAGATTGAAATGCTGTTTTAGAGAAATTAAGAGGGAGCCAACTGTGACACCTAGATCATCCAGTTTGAAATTTACTGTTTCTCCACTGTATCGCATGAAAGGTTCAGTCCTCAAGAGGTCACAAAACTGTCCTCTCCACAGTTCAGCCCCTAGTGAGGGATGGGGCAAAAGAGGGGTCAGCTGTTTGGGTGTCCCCAAATGTGTAACCTCGGTGTTTGTCTCATTTGAGATCCCTGCAGTGAAGTTGAATGAGCTGCTTGAGAACTTTTATGTTACTGTCAAGAAGAGTGATGGCTCAGACTTCCTGGCTACCTCACTTCACGCCATTCGCCGCGGCCTGGACCGCATCCTGAAGAACGCAGGCGTGGGCTTTTCCATCACCAGCAGCACCTTCAGCTCTTCCACCAAGAAGCTCAAGGAGAAGTTGTGGGTCCTGAGCAAGGCAGGGATGTCGGGGGCCCGCTCTCGCAATATCGTGTACTTCTCCCTTTCTGACGAGGAGGAGATGTGGCAGGCAGGCTGTCTGGGGGACGGCAGCCCCATCACTCTCCTGTCCACAGTGGTCAAGTTCAACAGCCAATATCTGAACATGCGCACGCTGCAGGAGCATGCAGACCTCATGTATGGAGACATCGAGCTGCTCAAAGACCCCCAAAACCAGCCCTACTTTGCCCGGACAGACAGCGTGAAGCGGGAGAGCCGGAGCGGTTCTGGTAGAATGTGCCACGGGAAGATCTACCACGAGCACGCCCGGGGCCACAAACAGTGCCCGTACTGCCTGCTCTACAAGTACATGTACATCCACCGGCCGCCCACCCAGATGGAGGCCAGGGCTCCCTTCTACCTCACAGCCCGCAAGGAGGCCGCAGACATGGGCAGTGTGTGGTATGAAGAGCAGAGGATGGGCTTACGGTCTCTCCGGGGAATTGTCCCAAATTTAGCCAGGAAGGTCAAGCTGGACAACTGTGAGAACTTCACCTTCGTCTCATTCACTCAGGTCTCCAGGCGACTTGGCTCCCATAGCTGCTGCCAGTGAGCCCGAGGGGTCTAGGGCCTGCTTGCTCACCTAGGAGACTTGCTCACCTAGGAGACCTTCCCGTGGCCACGGGAAGAGTGATCAGCAAGCGGGTTCTGAGGCAAGGAGCGGATGTCTGCACTCCACGGTCCGGCCGGCCTCCCTTTACTGCAGCAGGCCATTCCTCTGACGAAAGTCACTTTTCCGTAAGAGTAGATGACTGAGTAATTTGGATGTTTTATCTAAATGTGTGACGCCTTGTTAAACCATCAACTCTAACACGATATATAATTATATTCAAGAGTGAAGAAATTCATTTTATCTAGTGCCTTTTTTAGCATAGGTTTTCTTGAAAAAAAGAAAAGAAAAGAAAAAAAAATGTTTTGAGTAGTTACTTAAAAAATATCCCAGTAGCCGGTAGCTTTAGAATGGTATAGAATTATACTTTGTTGGGTTTCTTTCACACGGGGACCTAGAGCAAGAGAGCAGACATAGTAGAGAACACTTGCACTCACCACCCCTTGTTTTTGTCCTCCTCTGCCAGGATGGCGGGGCTGCTCACCACGATGAAATACACCTTTCTGCTGTCTGGCCTTAGAGGCAGTTGGTGAAAGGAAGGTCTGTGTGCACATGAGATCCACAGGGTGTGCAGGCGACCCTGCGCAGGGGCCTCCATGGTCTGCACCGTGAGGGTGTCTTGCTAGTGGAAAGCGCCACCTGTGACCGGATGTGAAAGCCCCCCACGCAGAAGTGCCTGCATCTGTCCGAGTTCTCCCCGTGAGCACTTGCTGTTTGAGTCGTGTCTTGTTTGCTTTGTTTTGTAATCTGTTTTTGCATCGTTGTTACGTTGGCAAGAGTTCTTGGACATGTGAGGTGGTGCTTACCGAGGAGAATCCAGAGTAAGCCAGGAGTTTGTAAGGAGCCTGGGGACCCTGTAGGTTGGCGCCAGTGCTCAGGACATGGATTTAGGTAGCCTGCCAGGAACGCAAGCCCAGCACAGGGACATCATTACTGGATCGGAGCGTCATGGGAGGTTATTTGTGCATTTCAAAATCATTTCACATTAATAAAAGTCAACCTGACCATGTGTTACTTAAACAGCAGAATTTTCTAGTAACTACTGTGAATACAAGTTTTTAAAAGGAGCCCAAAGAGCGCTAAGTAATAGTAGTAATTTCTACTCTATTTTCTAGTCAAGGAAAGACTGTTTTAAAAGTTGTACCATTGTGTTCTTCTGTGTGCTTTCTAACCCCAAATTAAAATCCCAATGCAGATTCACATTGCATGAGTCTTTCAATTAGTGTTCCTTTTCAAGGCATCTTTAATAATTATTTAAAGTCATTTTAGTCACTGAGGTGACATTTCCCAGAGGAGAGCTGACCAGTGCTGCCTTAAGGTCTCATGTTGTTCCCTTTCTGGTGACGTGTTTATAGCTCTGTGGACTGGGTGACCTTCCCTGGGTAGTGATGAGTTCCAGTATCTTGCTGTAAGTAGGTAATGGATAATCAGTGTTGTAATTTGATCTTGTGTGTTGGTCTGTGTGGCTTCCAATTGTGATCTTAGGCTTTGGTTTAGGAGAGATAAACAAAGCAGGCGTTGTGGTACTCGCCTTTAATTCCAGCACTTGAGAGGCACAGGCAGGCCAGGCACTGTGCCTACACAGGGGAACTATCTTGGGGGGGAGAAGAAGAGACAGACACAAAACATGAATTGCTCTTCTTTACTTTGCTAAATAGCCAAAGGTTACTTTGTGGAATGCCGTCATCTAGTCTGTTCTGCATGTAAGATGGCGACATGACTTGTATGGCCAAATTGCAGAGCCTGCAGCTTAATTACTAACACTTAACTTTTGTTTGGCATAGCGTCAGATGTTGTCAGTAGGTATGCTGGGATCTTTTCAACACTTCCAAAAGTAGCAATAACTGGCCAGAGGCTGCTAATCTCCCTGTTAACTGTGACTTTCAGCATTTGCATAGCCATTTCTGCCTCCGCTGCTGCCCGTCACCTCTGTGTGCACTGTGAACTCCAGAATTCAGATGTGAACTGTTAGGCTAAAGGCTCAGGGCTCAGCCTTCGCTCACACCTGATGGAAATGAGAGCCCTTCTGAGTTAGGCGCCCGGGTCACGGGTCACGGGAGAGGAAGACACACTTGCTCCAAGGGCCGCCATTCGGCACGTGCACTGCTGTGTGCTTGTGCAAGTCTGTGGGTGTGGAGGGCACTTTAAGCCAGTGTGTGGTGAAGCAGCATCCGCTTGCTGGCAGAGTCGCTGCTGCACGTGTGGCGTGCTCCGCAGGAGCGTGTGGCTGAGGCTCAGAGGGAGCTCTGTTCTGTCTCTGCAGTCAGCTCTGGGCTTCAGCAAGAGGAAGAAGGGAGGCGGCAGGTTACAGCACTTTCTCCGCTTGCCTTTGTTTTTTCGTGCTCTGGAGGTGTCATGATTATCAAGAGCTCTATGCTTGAGCTGGGGCAGGAGCTCAGGGCAGAATGCCGGCCTAGCACGTGCAAGGGCTTGCCTTTCCTTCCCAGCACTGAAGAAAGAAGTTCTTTCACTAGTTCACCTAGATGCACGCCACCTCTGGGCCCTGTATAAGGGAGGTTGCCCCCTGTGTTCCGAGAGGAACCCTGGACCTCTTGGGGGAGATCATGACACAACATGTTTTGTATTGCTCCAACAGGAACTGAGTTAGGCATGGGGGCTCACACCTGCAATCTCAGCACTCAGGAAACTGAGGCAAGAGGATCTCTATGAGTTCAGGCCCACCTAGGCTACATAGTGAGTTTTAAGCCATCTTGGGCTACAGCGTGAGGCCTTGTCCCCCCCCAAAACCTAGAGGGCTAGAGAGATGGCTCAGCTATTACGAGTACTGGCTGCTTTTCCAGAAGACTTGGGTCCCATTCCTGACTCCCACATGGCAGCTCACAGCCATTTGGAAGACCAGTCCTGGGGCGGGGCAGGGATCTGACACCCTCTTCTGGCCACTGTGGACACCAGGCACAAGCATAGTGCACAAACATTCCATGCAGGTAAAACACCTCTACACAGAAAAACACACAATAAAAGCAGGTGTGGGTGGTACCTCCCTCAAGCCCACAGGCCTCTCTCCAGGAAATGGCTTGCCACATAATAGGTTATCAGCTGATGCAGGAGAGCCCAATGGACATGAAGAATTTAACATGCAGCTGGATCTTAGGTGTGGAATGAATTTCTCGTTCTTTCCCCTTTTTCTTTTTTATTTAAAACCTTTAGTAATATGTATCACTCATTTCCTCCATTGCTGAGATTTTAAAAACAGATTTATTATGTATACAATGTTCTGCCTGCCTGTACACCTGCAAACCAGAAGAGGGCACCAGATCTCATTATAGATGGTTGTGAGCCATCATGTGGTTGCTGGGAATTGAACTCAGGATCTCTGGAAGAGCAGACAGTGCTCTTAACCTCTGAGCCATTTTTCCAGCCCCATTGCTTTCTTACATTTTTAAACTTGTAGAGGAAACCAACCTGATAATGAGGTCCAGTGACCACATCTATTATAATGAATTCTACCTCCAGCACAACCAAGCCTGATACCTCACACACAAACAAAACAAGACAGAGGCTTTACAGAAAGTTTTCCCATTGTTTTCTGTGTTTTAAAGCAAATGTTGTATCTAACCAAAGCTGTTTGGTCACATGGCATGGCCCCCTTTCCTTGGATTTTATTCTGCTTAGTCAGCTCTGACCCAAAAACGGTGTTTGAAAAAAATGTGAAATTGAATTACTTTTCTATTAATTCAGTCTTATTAAAAGCATCAAGTATTTCAGCTTGTTCATGGATGCGCTCCCTAAGAGGATCTGAACAGATGGTATTTATGTGGAAACTGAAATGTCCTGACAGATCCTGGGTGTTCCTTCACCCAGCTAGCAAGTGTGGCAGCTGCTGCTGGTACCATCCTTGGCCTGGTATGGACTCAGTGGCCTGGCTCATCTCAGTCACTAACACGTCCTTAGGCTAACAAGTCACGCTGCCAAGCTAGCATTTCTCAGTACACTAGCTAGCGTGCCTTCTTGGAAAATAAGTTTCTCTTAAATTTTCAAGTTTCAGAATTTCTAGTTATTTGTTATCTCTAGACAGACAAATGCTATTTTTGTCAGTTTAAGCTAACAGTGACCATACTGTTAAATGAAAAAAAAAATTGGTTAAATCTCATTCTTATCAAGCATTCATCACTTAATTGCTTTTATGAGACATAGGTTGCTCTTTAAATTAAAAAAGAAAAAAAAAAGAGCTTGTAGCCAGTTACCTTTACACAAGGATGAATGCAAACAAGTAAGAGCTCACAGGAGATGGCCGATTTGCCCTAGACAGCTCCACTGTAGTCTGAGGGAAGGCTGAGCCTGTTTTGGAATGGCTAACAGACAGCTGTGAACAGAGCTTGTGTACACTTTAAGTAATTCTAAACACAAATTCTCTGTGTCAAAAAAAGACACCCTGTTGTTTAAGCCTTGTTCTTAAGTAAGGCTTTACTTTACTTTACTTTACTTTACTTTGTTGTGTCCGTCTATGTAAATGAACAGATTTAAGCTAAACGCGGTTGTGCACACCTGTAAGCTCAGCGCTTGGGATCTGACACAGGAGGATCAAAGCTAGCCCGATATGCAGCAAGAGCTTGTCTCAGATAAATAAATAAATAAAACATAAACCAAGGCAGAATGGTGGTGACCACAGCTATACCTCTTCTTGGAGAGACAAGGCCAGGAGGATGATAATGAAATGAATATTCTGGGAATTCCTATATGTGACATCACAGGATTTCCTCAACTCCTTTAAAGGAAGCTGTCCAGCCTTCAAGCCAAGTTTGAGTGTTCTCAAGAGGAGTTTCAACACTTTTGGCTCTGTGTGGTCCAAAGACACTTTCCTCATGTTGTTGATCAGAGTTACATGTTGCATTCAAATCAAGTTCTTCATTATGTATGTAATGTGGCTTATATGGAAATTAACCATTTCAGGAAATACTTAAGACCACCCCATTCCCAAAGAAAGAATGTCTGGTGTGTTGGTAAGTGCATAGGAGTTCCATTGCTGTTTCCACTGACTACATAGATTCCCCCTCCCGTATTGAAAGGGAGAGCTCCTGAGTTACAATACAGGGTTGTTTCATGTGGCTACTGCACACTGCACCCACCCTCTCTGGAAATGAAGAGCCTGGAAAAGGCTCCCTGGGCTGCCCCATTCCTGACTTTCACAACAGCTCTGCAAAATGCATCTAATTATTCCCGTTAAGAAACCAAGACTCAGATAAGTCAATTTAATGTCCCATATTCTAGAAGTCAGAGAACAGAAGCCAACATCACACCCTGATTCCAAATCCAGTGCTCAGTTCATCAGAAAAACAAAAAATTGCTTCCTTCAGGCCTACTGAAGCCCATTTAACTTTGAAAAATTCACCTTACAAGTTTTCGCCAGGCATGATGGCACACACGTGTGACCCCAGGATTTGGGAGCTGGAGGCAGAAGATCATCCTTGGCTACATAAGCTAGCTTGGGCTACTTGAGATCCTGTCTGAAGAAAACAAAACAAACAAACAAATAAAATACTTAAGAGCCAACCAGCCAGGGGCAGGTTGCAGAATCAGGCCTGGAAAACTAGTGAACCTCTTCCTGCAGACCACAGCTGGGAAGATTAGGACTTAAAAAATAACAGCACACTATCTGCTGGATGCCTGGCCAGCAGAGTCTCATAGGATTGTCTCAGGGGTTAAAAGTCCTGGTTGTTGTTCTAGAGGACCTGGTTTGAGTCCTGGCACCCACATGGAAGCTCACAACTGTTAACTCTAGTCCCAGGGTATCTAGAGCCCTCTGCTGGCCCCAACAGGTACTACATGGGTACATGGTACACAGATATATAGGCAACCCTCTAGTCCAAGACCCCAAATCATAGTGCTGTAATGACTGGAAAACTGAAGGGACAGCTAAGATACTAGTGAACTTCTAGAATGAAGCCTTTAGGTGAAAGCAGAAACGGTCAATGGCTGGGTAGCAGGAAATGCAGATTTTATGATTACTTGTATGACGTTAGTTCAAAGATCCATCAGGCAGTAGTAGGAGGCTGTGTCGGTAAATTGCAGCAGACAAGAAACTGGACGGAAGTCCGCGTATCTGACCTCACCATGAACCCGGACTTTCACTGCAAAGGGAATCTGACGAGTTTGAGTGCAGGGTCTGAAAAGAAAGAATCGTTCTTAAGGGTAGAAAAGGAGAGTGAACTCAATGTGCCTCACGAAAATAAACAGCCTCCAAAACACTTTTGGGTAAG